TGGGAAAAAGCATTTAACTTTTCAATAAGGTAAGATTAATAACAACAAAAATTCATATGTATACTAAAAATGAAATTGAATCCCACCTCATACATGATACAAATACTAAGTGCAGATGGAGTAAGATCTAAATGTTGCCAACGTAACTTTAAAACTCTTAATGGAAAAGATAGGTGAATATCTTTTAGATATCAAAGTGGGAAAAAGTTCCTAAATTTAAAACAACTAAAATTAAAACTATATAGTTTCAGGAATTCATAGAGATGAAACAAAAAGGAAATCAAAGTGGGAATGAACACAGGATACAAGATGATTACAATCTCTAATGACAACATATAGGCTACTTTCAAAGTTCTAGCTTTTGTTTTAAGTGGGTTCATGTGTGTTTATTATTAAAAATTAATATGCAGTTTCATAAACAAATGAAATGTTTGCATATATAGCTGATTATGAATCAATGTTAATTATTATTAATTCAATTCTGTGCACTTCAGAATCAACTAAAAATGTATATTAAACAACCCCTCTCCCCTCAAAATATCTTACCATCTATGGAGGTAGTAAATATAAAATTGGCATTAGAAAAATAATCATCTGGACAATCAAACTAAAAAGTTATCTTAAGGATATAAGACAAAAAGAAAGAAGAAGAAATTATAAAATAAAATTTGAAGCAAGAAAGACAAATGATATCTAATGTTCAAATAATGTAGTTACAGAAAGAGGAAAAAAAGAATAGAATACTTTTAAAATAACTTTTCCCAAGAAGTATACTAAAGTTTTCAGATAAAAAACCTAGGCAGTACTGTTAAAAAGATATATACATTCATACACATACACGCGCATGAGCAAAATTTCTGGATTCTACACCAAAGAGGAAATCTCTACAAAAAAAAAAAAAAGTAGAGTAACATTAAACAGTATTACACTATACAGAAAAACAGTTAAAAGTAAATACCTAATTTTAAAAATCATTAGCTACTAATGTGTCTGTAACACAATTAAGTAATATTTTTGACACAAGGTATACGCTAAGAAATTTAAAAGGGCATCTTTTAGAATTACAATGCTACATTATTCCAATAAAATCAGGAATGCTATAAATAAAAATATGTTAAAACGCTTGCCTTATTGGTGGCAGAGGGGCAGAGGGAAAACTAATTATTAATTTTTGACACCTTCAGAAAAATATGTGTTTAAATATATTTCTTTCAAATTAAAAGAGCAGAAATGAGAAAGAGATTTCCAAATCATTATAGGATATACAGGGAAGGGTAGGGGAGGTGATACAATGAAAACCTGATCAATCCACCGAAACTGAATGGGGAAAACATGACTAATAAATGGAAACTCAGGTGACATTAAAAAAAAATAAATTCATAAGTTATCACCACATAAGTAAATGATGAAATCCTACTAAAGGCCAGCAAATACACACACATTTGGATTGGATCCATTAGAAATACAAAAACAATTTGATGAAGTTACATTAAAAGACATCAACATCTCTTAGAAATTAAGAAATAAAGAAAAAATAAATAAATCACACTGTAAGTATTCATTTAATATATAGAACTCTATAAATTTCAAATATACATCCTTTTCATATGCTCATTAAAACCTCACGTACTTAGTCATAAGAAAATCTTAATGAATTTCTAAAACTATTACAAATCATATTCTCTAAACAGTGCATCAAAACTAAAAATCAACAATTTTTAAAATTCGACAATTGTTCAGTTTCGAGCTTTCATGATCGCTCAATAATATTAAATCTTGGGATTCAGTTAGGGAACTAAAATAACTACTGCACTTGCATTCATTTTTAGAAAACATTCACTCATTTCCTCCATCAAATATTTACTGAAACCTACTATGTGCAAGGAACTGGTCTAAGCGGTAAGGTGAAACAAAGTAGGCAAAATACCTGCTCTTATGAACCTTATATTTTATTCAACTCAAAAGGATGCATTTAATGTAAATAGTATCAGCTCTCTTCACTATAAAATAGTTTCTAGGTCCCTGGCAGGAAGCCTTCTATTGCTGCCCTAAAGAATCCTCACTTGGGATCTGAATCTATGTATCAAATTTCTAAGATCTAAGGATCCTACACTTAGGAAAATATCAAGTACAAAGGCTGAAGATACATGTTCAAGATCAAACTATGACAAGCTTTAACTGTACATAATCTGCCTCCAACTCCCCTCATCCGTATCATCCAAACATCAGAAAAGCAGCTTTGTAGTTTTACTACATTTCCTAACTCTGCCATGGCCAAACTTCAGCAATCAAGCAAAGAACACCATCTGAGAAAAAGACAGCCTTCTGACATATATTATAATAACAAGCTACTTTGTAGGTAAACAAAAGACCCATGAAAGTTTTGTATTGTGCTGCTTTAAAAAAAAAAAAAGAAAGAAAAGATTATCACTAATCATACATCCTGGAAGAAAAAAAAAGCATCTTGAAAGTATAGGAAACTGTTCCAACCAGCAGATACAGCTATTTACATAAAACTAATGTTATACACGTGCATACACACACAAAAATTTTTTAGGGAGAGCAGAAAATAGGCTAAGATTTTGGTTGTGCAATATGCACTAGACAACTCTCATTTTAGTGGTAATTCATAAAGTTTCGAAATGAAAACAAAGAGTTTCACTTTTGTTTCTTGTAAAGTATGAAGCTCACTCCCTAGTTACTGCTTTAAGTCCACTTCCTAGTTACTAGCTAGGTGGATTTAAATCTATCAATTTATTTGAAGTAGACAGTATAAAGTATTTATATCCATATAAATATTTTTTAAATAGTTCTAATCTGAGTAACAAAGTAATAGTATATAAATACAGGAAGCAAATACATTGTTTCTTTTTAAAAAACACATAAATACCATGACAGAAGTATAATTATAGTTCTCTAAAAAAATTTCCCCAATATCAATGAAATTATCAGACATACACACTCTAAAAATAGCATCGCAATGGTAATACTTTAAATTAACAACTATTCTCTTTATATAAGGAGAGGGTTCATTAAACTAGAAAATTGGACTTGATGGCCAAGGTCACTTACAGTAATTTGATTACTGATCTAACAATTTTATTCATAAATCTCCAAAACAGACAGATCTGTATTATCTGGTTCTATGCTAAAAAAGTACTTTAAGTCAAAATCAATTTTAAAAAAATTCACAAACTTCTTGCCATTGTTCAAATTTAAGATATGTGAAAAACATTAGCTACATTTCCCACTTTGAAATAGACTTTAATATTCAACACTGAAAAGAACTATAAATAAAAATA